CCCCGCCGCGCTGTGCCGCTTCCCCCGGGGCCGCCCACCTCGCCTCTCCCTGTCCCTCTCCCTCGCTCCCCCTTTCGTCACAGGCCCCCACTAGTCGCCCCGGCTGCCCCGATCTTATCCTCCCGGCCCAGCCTCCGGAGTAGCTGGAAGGACAGGCTCGGTCTGAGTAACCGCGCACTCCCCACACGGGCCCCCACCTAGACAATTTCGGAGACAGGCTTCTCCGACATCCGCCCCCTTATCCCGCTTCAGCGAGGGGGGCCGGGAGACCTCCGCATCACTTCCTGTGCTGGCCACACAGAAACTGTCTCAACTGTCTCTCTCTGTCTTCCTTCAGTCACCCCCTGCCTCTCAGTCCTCTACTTTTCTGAAACAGGGTCTCACTGCGTGGTTCAGCAATCGTCCTGAGTCGGCCTCCTGAGTGCTGGGGTTACAGGCATTGTGTCTCTTTAAATATTTGCTCTCACCAGAGTTAAGTACCCTTTTTTTTCCAGAGACTGATAGATATTTAATAATCCTAACAGCCAGCCACCTCCCTGCCACGGGAGACGGATAGCAGCTGTGTTGCAGGGCTGGGGACTTCAGGAACGCTGCAGTTCAGTCTGCTGAGCTCGGACGGGGTCAGTGAAATGCAGGTCACCGACCACCCCTGTCTGGGTGACCACCTCATCTCCCTTCCAGCCAAGACTTGCAAATTTTTTCAGTTAAATACAATGGTCTGATCTCGACCGAGTTCTTGGAGACGTCTCGAAACTGAGTGGCCACTCTAAAAAGTAGGCTAATCCAGAGGCAGAACCGCATGCTGCTTTAAAAAAGAAGGAAGAGACGAACAGGAAGGGCGAGCAGAAGAAAAGAGATGAACCGGCTCCTGATGAGGAAGCAGGAAGTAGTTACTGAACCCATTACAGCCACAGCGGACACGGAGGAGCAGGGCTCACTGATACCCCCTGCACACTCCATTAGGGTCCTGTAACTGAAACGTGTTTCGAGGAGTCAGGATCTTCAAAGCATGAAGGGAAAAGACACCATTAATCTTGGAACCATGGGGACAACAGGGTCCTGGACAAAGGGAAACAAGTCAGCAGAAAAAGTAGAAGGACTGAACAGTATTCTTTTGTTTAGGAAGAACTAAAACTATTTCGGTTTCCTTTAGAGTAAGAGGGAATGATTACGAGGCAAGGATTCTCGCTATTAAAGGGCTGGGACCTAGCAGGGGTGGGGAGAACACCTGCAACCCCAGCACTAAGGAGGCCAAGGCAGGAGGACCGCACTGCTGAGAGTTTGAGGCCAGCCTGAACTACACAGACCCAGGCTCATAAAACAAAGATAAAAATGAAAAAAGGGCCGGGGACGTAGCTAGGAGCAAAGGCCCCGGGACGGACACGCAGTGCCACACCACACCCGTTCACACACCTCGCTGTGACCTGACACACGTGGGAACCACTTTCACTGTGGTATTCTGAGTCCTGTGCAGGTAAAGCCCGGAATCACCTAAGGGGTTGGTTTGGCTTCACCTCTCCGTAATATTTAGGGAGCACTGCTTTACCAGGGTGTGATCTCAGCAGAAAACTCGATATTGCCGCTGAATAATCTGGCTGATGAAATGAGGTATTGGGATAAACAGAGCAGAGGCCCTGGATGAGTGTCCGTGCAGTGAGCAGCAAGCAACCGTGGAAGGCTTTCCAGCCACCTATGGCACGCTGCTCTGAAAGCTGCTCTGAAAGCTCTAAGAGGTGGGCTGTGTGGATCTGGAGAGCTCGGTACAGACAGCTGTGAAGCTGTCCGCCAAGTCTCAATTTCCTCCTCTTAAAACGGAAATAATGCTTCTCTCTTCAAAGATTATTGCAAAGATTAAAAAGAAAGACTGCACAAAGTGCTTAGCACACAGGATACAATACGGTCTCCCCTTTCCGTCTGCTGTTCCTTATTATACCAAGGAAAGCGATTCTTTAGGCATCTCTGACACAGCCAGGTACCCTCCCTGAACCACAGCCCACTGGCTGGCTCCCGGAGAGTAATAACCAAAAACATTCCGAGATTAAAAACAAAAATTTCCATCTGTTTGTAGTTTAAGATTGCCCCCCATTTTTTCAGTACTGGGGATTGAACCCAGGGCCTTTACACTGAGCTCCATCCCTATCCCTTTTTTATTTTGAGATAAGGTCTCACTAAGTTGCCCAGCCTGGAGTTGAACTTGAGATCCTCCTGCTTCAGCCTCCCAGAGTGCAGGGATTCCAGGAATGAGCTGCTATTCCAAGTTAAAATTTCCCATTTCTTTAGTATTCAAATTACAGATGCTTCTTCGCTTTACTATAAGGTTTCATCCCCTACAAACTAATTTTAAGTCAAAAAAGGTCACCAAGCCCAGGTGTGCTTAGCACTCCTGGGTCCACTGCAGAGTTAAATTTGTCAGGTTCAATCGGGACAAGCAGGGGACCATGCACGCTTACTGAGGACCCAAGAAAGAGGCCAGGGGAGGCTGTAGGGGGATAAAGCCAGGGAGCTGTGGTACCCAAAACTGGAGCCAGCTTTTGGGGGAGGAGGCGGTACCCAAGTGAGCCTGAGGCCATGGCGGCGGGAACCCTGGAGCCGTGGTTGTCCAGGAAGGTGACAGAGCTACGTGAGCCCTGAAGGAGGGCTGGGCCCCAGGGTGCCTCTTGCTCCTCACAGCATTCTGAGAGGTTTCTGGTCAGAAACAGTGACTGATTTCTTGTTGAGACATTATGTACCTCAGGCCGGCCTCAAACTCACAGCAATCCTCCTGCCTCACCCTCTGAGTTACAGACGTGCACCGCCACACCCAGCTGAAATGCCAGTTCTTTTGGTAAGAAAAACAAATGGCGTCCCAGGTGTAGGGCCACACGCCAGTGATCCCAGCACTCAGGAAGCTGAAGCAGAAGGATCCCCGAAGGCCAGGCTGGGCTCCAACAAACAAAACCTAAAAAATATGGGAGACCATGAACCCATTAGTTACTGTTACGGCTGTGTCTCGATGTCCCCAAAGCCTCATGCAGTCATAGGTGGGGCTTTTTCAGAGGTGGCTGGACCGAGTGTGTGTGACCCTGGGATTGACTCAAGATGCAGTGTTGGGCTCAAGGGCACTAGGATAAGGGTGCGAGTGCTGCCGCCCTAGGGATGAGGGACAGAAGGAGCTGCGGTTGTCCCTTGTTGCTTTCCTGCCCTCTGCCTGCCGTGGACTGTTTCTTTACAAACTGCGAGCTCCATGAACCATTCTCCCTTTAACTTCCGGCACTGGGTATTTCGTCCTGCACTGAGGAAAGCGACTAAGTTACACAAAAGGTTTTTGGAAACATCCAACATCATCAGTAATTTCAAACCACGCATTCTGCTACTTGTGGCAACCACGGGTGAATCCCACAAAGCTACAGAAAATAGCAACATAAAATGCACCTGACTAAGAGGGTGAGGCTCAAAGCCAAGCTTATGCGTCTTCCCTGCCCCTCCAGGCTCAGTCCGTGCCCCTTTGAAAATCCTGCCGGGAGAAGCAAGAGTAACTTGTTCTGTTACTCATCTCTGTCCCCAGGTAGAGCCAGTGAGTATGCAAATAGTCTTTTCTTGAAACTCTCAAGTCACGTGTCCAAACATAATTGCCAAACTCTTCTGTTTCTCAGGATTAAAGAAGTAACTGGCTAGACGAGGTGGCGCCTGCTGGTCATTACAGCACTGAGGAGGCTGAGGCAGGAGGATTGCTGTATTTAGAATTAAGTTGTTGGGCTGCAGATTTAGCTCAGTGGTTCTGCCACCTGCCTTGCGAGCTCAAGGACCCAAGTTCGATCTCTAGTACAAAAAAAAAATAAAAATAAAAAAATAAACTTTTCCTTGCTTTTAAAAAAAATTCCCAGGCAACCCATTGAGGACCCCTCCTGTCTCTCAGGAGCTATTCTTTCTC